CCCGTCTCGTCCAACAAGGATGGGCAGTGACCTTCAGAAGAGAAGGCAAACAGGACTTCTAATCTCTGGCACGAAACAAGAAAGCCCGCAGCGTTTTTTTGGCTTATCAGGGACAGTCCCTGAGTCCACAGGGGTTTGCTTGAATTGGCCCAGAAGCCAGAAGAAGAAGTCGGGACATCCCACAAAGAGGCCATTCTTCCCTGCATTGCCTTGAAGGGGGAACGGATGCCCTAAGAGCAGCTTTCTCCAGCCAGCCTCTGGTGTCCCTGCCCTGCAGTCCTTGATTAAGAAACATGATGGGTCTTTATGGATCACAATCATTGCCTTAGCGCAGCAAAGGCGAACCTTTTTGTAAAGGCGTCCCAAAATTGTGTGTGTGTGGCCGCTCTATCATGCATGCATACCTATATCCACAATGGAATGCGTCCTACCCATCTGCGCATGCATGCATGACCCCTGCCCCATGCATGCGTGCACAACCCCCCATGCACAGTGGAGAGTTTTCGCCCTCCCCAGGCTCTGGAGGCTTTCCTGAAAACACTTTCCGGTGAAAACAGCTTCCCCTTGCCATCCGGAAGCCTGAAAATCAGAGCTGATGGATCAAGTGCCGGCAAATATGGCTCCACATACCACCTGTGGAGGTCACAGGTTCGTCATCACGCCCTGAGCATCTTAGAGAAGGAAAACCCCAGCACAAAACTCAATGAAGCCCCCAGTCTCCTTGTACCAATAATCATGTCTCCTTGGAGTCTCCAGACCCACTGGCAGAAGCCCCTCTTTGGGGTTTTTCAAAAGAGGATGAAGGGAGGGAGCCATCTAGAACCTAGAATGAAGGAGGAAATTTCCTGTTCTATATAAACTATACAGAGAGAGATATGAAAAAGATAGATTATAGATGATATAGCTGACATATACTTAGGATGACCAGACATCCCGCATCTGGCGGGACAGGCACGCCTTTTCATAAGTTTTCCTGCGTCCTGGCCGTTCTAAAAAAAACCCACTTTATTTTGGCACTCACAGCTCGCTCGCTCCCCCGCCTATCTGCTGCCGCTCACATGGGCTGGGTACTGTAGTGAGTGAGCGGGCGGATGGGCGAGGGAGCGAGTGAGCCCCTCATTCATTCCCCTGCCCATCCGCTGCTGCTTGCATGGGCTGGGTACTGTAGCGTGTGAGCGGACGGATGGGCGAGGGAGCGAGTGAGCCGCTCATTCATTCCCCTGCCCATCTGCTGCCGCTTGCATGGGCTGGGTACTGTAGCGAGTGAGCGGGCGGATGGGCGAGGGAGCAAGTGAGTCGCTCATTCGTTCCCCCACCCATCCACTGCTGCTCGCATGGGCTGGGTACTGTAGCGTGTGAGCGGGCGGATGGGCGAGGGAGCGAGTGAGTCACCTCATTCGTTCCCCCGCCCATCCGCTGCCGCTCGCATGGGCTGGGTACTGTAGCGAGTGAGTGAGTGGATGGGCGAGGGAGCGAGTGAGCTGCTCATTCGTTCCCCTGCCCATCCGCTGCCGCTCACATGGGCTGGGTACTGTAGTGTGTGAGCGGGTGGATGGGCGAGTGAGCGAGTGAGCTGCTCATTCATTCCCCTGCCCATCCGCTGCCGCTCGCATGGGCTGGGCACTGTAACATGTGAGCGGGCGAATGGGCGAGGGAGCGTCTCGCCTTTCCAGCCCCACTTCCACCCGGACAAGCCATGGGAAAGCCTCCGCCTCTCCAAAAAGAGTCACCTGTGTGTGTGGCCCTCGGCGGGGTCTGGAATCGGAGCTTTTCCCCAAAGCATTCCTCGCGCACTTCGGGGGCCGGCGGATGAGGCGAGCGCAGCGGCCGGAGACTCCCCCGCGGGACCACTGTTCCCAAGGCAAGAAAACACCATGCAGCACTTTTCAACTCCCGTGCAGCTGCAGTGATTTGTTGTGATGAGCACGGGACGACTGGACTGACAGTAAGCCCCCGCCACCACCGGATTAACTGCTGCTGCCTCTTCCTCCTCCTCTAACAACACCGCCGGATTTGCTGCCTGGCGCTGCGGCTGAGGTGAAGCCGCCAAAGCTCCCGCCGTGCTTTTGAGGAGTCCTGAGGCCACGGGAGGCAGTAGGAAGGCGGCGGAGGGGCGGGAGCAGGAAAAAAGGCCTGATAGCTCCTCAAAAGCATGGCAGCGGAGGAGGGGGCAGGGCAGGGGTAACGCGGTGCCCAGCTCAGGTGCTCTGAATGGAGGGGGAGGAAGCACCACTGCTACCATGGGCGGGAGTTTTGGCAGCTTCACCTCAGCGCCAGGTGGCAAAAATTTTAATCAAGAACACCCAACCCACCGCGCCCCGCCCCACCTGCCAATGGTGTCCAGCTTTACCAATTTTAAAATCTGGTCACTTTATATATACTGTAGATGAAAGGTAAATTATATATATATATATATATATATATATA